TACCTCCCTTTTCTTACTTTGTACGCGGTTTGATAAAGTTTGCTCTATCAAGGTTTTATCAATATTACGTTCTTTACCGTACTTTTCAGTGCAAAACAGAGTACAAAATTCCATGTCTCTATGTTATCGACAGCATTATTCGCACATCTAAGCATCAGTTCAAGGAGAGAGATGTGTACGCGGCACGCTTTCTCAAAAATTTCTCGAAGACCTTGGCTGATCTACTTAGTTGTCCGGTAGCTGATCAGGTGAGTTCCATTTCGATTTATACTAAGCGGATTATGATCTCACCAACTTATTGAGTAAAGTGTTGACTAGAAACATTTCAGCCTCGCGTAGTCCGTACTTTAAACCTCTGGGGCGCTAATGGTGTCTTTACTGAGGAACAACTTGCACCTTTCAAACAGCAGTGCCGTGATATGGGAATAGGTAAGTCACCACAAGTTATTAGTCGCTTAGTATCACTCTTTTTTTCTTTCCTTTAATATGTTTGCATAAGTTCCTCTACATTTCCGCTTTCATATTAAGACACGGATATTGAACGAGTGGAACGTCTTGTCAAAGGAGAAGATGCGGATATGTCAAGATATGGAGGGGCCTATGGCAGAGCTAAGGAAAAGGAAAGAAAGAGGCATCACAGAAGTTCGGCTCCAGAGTCTCCACCTCGTGACCTTGCTCAACCGGTGTGCTCCTTGTAGAGATCATTCTGCCAAATCTACTTTGATGCGCAGCGATTCTGAATACTGGTAATCTTTCAGGCACCTTCAACCACTCCTCCTATGCCACCTCCCGTTCATCTGACGAACCCAGCTGCCGCTTCGAGCCAAAATGTTGCTCCTGTCAATACCAACAACGAAAATGAACCATCTGATGAGATTCCTCCATGTACGTTGAAAATCGTAGTACCAATCATTCTAATCTTGCTTTTAATGATGATCCAAAAGTCTTATTTTTTGAGCTTCAGAACGATAAAAGAACCCAAATGACTCAATTTTAGGTGGCCTTAGTGAGCGGAAACTTTTGGAAATGATGTTGGATGCAAATTTTGATTTTAGTGGTGCATTTAAGAATGATATCGTTTTGCTGAGGAAAGCACACGGGGTACCGGATTCCTTTCTTTTCCTTTCTTTATTGGACAAGATTTCTGCTTTCATACGTCGTGCGGGGCTCTTTGTTTCAGCTAATTGCTCGCGCGCTCGATGCTCGTATACGATCTGTAGGTGACAAGCCAGAGATTAAAGTAGGCAGAGATATGATAGAGTTTGTACAGATTAGTTATTGGGTGATAATATGGTTCTCCTTTAGGATCTGCTCTCGAGTCAATTTGACTATAGTGATGAAGAAGACGATGGTGACGAGAACAAAAAGAGCAAAAGACCTGAAAAGGTTAAGGAGGTGTGCCAGGAGGATCTGCTGAAGTATGTTTAGATTTATCAAACTGCTTTGCTCTACATACTGTTGACGCTCTCATTCATGCTTTGTCCAATTTTTTTTCAAATAGTTTGATGAAACAGATAATATAGTTTATTTTGCAGCATTGCTAGAAACCTGATCGAAGATCCTAATGTAATAGCGGCATTCAAACACATGCATGCTGAACGAATTGTTGCTCTTAATCAGGTAACGCCCCTAATATTTGGAGACTGAAGGATAAGTAAAAACTTATTTGAATGCGCACTTCTGTGCATGCTTGATTGAATTTTTCTGCATATTTTTCTTGACAATCTCATCTTTTTTAGATTGCTGCGCAAGCGCAACAGCGCTCACTTGCTGCGGGGACCAACGCCCCTCCAGCCAGTTCAAGTCTCCCAGGAACGTCGTCATCCTCAAGTGTACCGAGTAACACTGCGACTCCTGGTCTATCGGCAGCAGCAGCAGCTGCTGCGGCTTTACAAGGAATCAATCTTCCAAAAGGCCTACCTCCAGGCTTGGCACTTCCTCAAGGACTTCCCGTAAGCTTTGCAGTCACACCTATGAAATCGCAATACTTATGTGTCTATACATATCTCAACAAACTTTTAGTTTCTGGACATAAGCCTGTTCCAGGCCGGATTGCCTAACCTCGCAGCTTTGCAAGGAGTTCAGGGCTTACCCAGCCTGCAAAGTCTCACAGGTCTTCCATCACTTAATCTCGCCCATCTGTCGGCCCTCAACGCAGCGAATCCTTCACAACCTAATCAGGCCCTGCTCAACTTGTTGACCAATAATTCTTTGGTAAGTACGTTCCCATCTGTACAGTTTTCCTGAGCTTTCTGTGTATTTATCATAGTGTCAAATTTTTCGAGATGTTCACTTTCCATTTCGAAACTCAATGCGAAGATAACTTCAACTGGTTTGAAATCTCTAGAAAAAGCTGTTAAATTATAAGACTCTTTTGAACTGGCGAGGACGAGCGAGTGGATGGCTTTGGCTTTCCTATATCTATCCGGCGAGGAAGACAGGCAGTCGTTCACAGTTGAAACGGCGTCAGTGCTAGTCGTCTCAAAAGTAGTGAGAATTGCGAACTTTTTCACAGTGGCTCCCGGCTCTTTGAAACGAGTTGCACCGTCGCGATTTCAGCTGTCTTGGAACGACTGTCTGCCATCCTTATTAGAGAGCACTGCGAGAGAAGCCAATGACGTATTTACGCTAGCTAAAGCATCCTCATGTTCAGCACTACAAAGCGCTTCTTACATAAACTCGCAATTGAAAATTGGCCTGGGCACTGCTTTGAATATTTAGCGTGTGTCTGCTCGTTCGGCTTTCCCTATTTTTCCTCAAATATCGTTTTTGATAGGTGACACACACGTTTACATAACAGTCGTATAATATGTTCTAGTTTTCTTCATTAATCGTTTAAAGTAACAGGAGAATTGTGCAGTTGTATGCTACGATACAAGAGATTGCGGAGATTCTTACATATGAATTGACAAACTACTACCAGCTATTTCAAAAGTGTGTCTAAATCATCTTGATCATACCCTTTTTTTAAGTTTTCGAAGTCATTAATATCCGGAATTTCTGTCAGATTTGGTGTATATACATTTCTGACATACTACGACAATTAGGTAGAGCTGCTTTTCCA